AGGCATTTCCTCAGCTGAGGCTCCTTCCTCTGATGACTCTAACTTTTGTCAGGGCGAATCCAGCCAGGACACACACCAAGCTTCCAGATTAATGGGACACAAAAGACAGGTTATTAACTTGCAACAATTTCGGCACGGCCAAATGTTGGGGAAGTCTTATGTCAATAAAGCGCTGTTGAGCCTATAGGGAACCAAGATAGGAGGGACTAGGAGTCCAGGAGAACTCTGGGAAGGAGAAACACAAGAGATTCAAGATGTAACGCCATGGGGTAGGAGCCCGGAACTATTCTCCGGTAAGAGACATACTTAGATGAACAATTATGGGGTAATTACTTAAGTCAGAGCTAGCCAGTAAGAATCAAGCAAGGCCAACAGCTTCATAATTAATATAGCCTCCTGTGTGTTTATTTGGGACTGATGCGGATCAGGCTGGCGGGAAGGCTTCTCTCAAAGAAAAAGCTTCTCTTTACAGCCAAATACTTAGTTTCAACTTAACTTCCTAAGAATTTTCAAACCAGCCTAACTGCCACAAAATCTGAAACACTTAGGGGATGTGCAAACTAGACAAATTAGGTGGATTTCTTTCAAAGAATGGACGTATGTGACAGACTGCTGTGTGGTTTGCACAACACTTTGCTAGTGAATACCTGCACAACACATATGTGGAAACCGTACAACTTGCTAATGGTAGCTGGGGAGGGTACTCATAACCTCATTAGAACTGGTATGAGACCTTTAACTGGCATGACCAACAATGCAATCCCTGTCAAAGTTCCAACACAGGTCAGCTCTCAGCTTCCTATGGGGGGAAGGGGGGAACATAAGAGCTAAAACAATCCTGAACAATAAAAGAACTACTGGAGGTGGTCTCACCATTCCCAACTTCAAGCTGTACTGTAAAGCTATAGTAATAAATTAAAAAAAAAAGCATGGTGTCAGCATAAAAAACAGACATGTTAACCAGTGGAATAGAAGGGAAGACCCAACATGAATCTACACGCCTATGGACACCTGACTTCTTGTATAAAGAAGCAGCCAGAAATAGACACTTGGAAAACAACAGCCTTTTCAACAAACGGCGCTGGTCAAATTGGATGGCTGCATGTAGAGGAATCCAAATTGACCCATACTTATCACCCTGCAAAAATCTCAACTCAGAATGAATCAAAAACCTCCATATAAAGCCAGATATAATGCATTGGAAAAGAAACTAATTTTTTTCTAGGTCAATTATTTTATTTCTTTTTTTTCCTTCTTTCTTTTTATCATTTTTTATTTTAATTTTAAATAGCTTGTTTTACATGTCAATCCCAGTTCCCTCTCCCTCCCCTCCTCCCGCACTCCCCTTCCCCCCCAGCCTCCCACCCTATTGCCAAATCCTTCCACATAGGGGATATCTAGAGTCTGTCATTTCACTCTGGGTAGGGTCCAGGCACTCCCCTAAGAGTCCAGGCTGAGAGAGCATCCCTCTTTGTGCTATAGGTACACGATGACTGTTTGTATTCCAGGAATAGACACTGATCCACAGCTCAGGGCCCCATAGGTTGCCCAGGGCTTCTCGCTGACACTCACATTTGGGGGGTCCAGATCAGTCCCATGCTGGCCTCCCCACTGTCGGTCTGGGGTCCAAGAGCTCTCCCCTGTTCAGATCAGCTGTCTCTGCTGGTTTTGCCAGCCCATTCTTTGCCAATTTGCTCATTACTCCTCTCTCTCTGTCACTGGGTTCCTTGGGTTCAGTTCAGTGATTAATTGTGTGTTTGCTTCTGCTTCCATTAATCACTGGATGAAGGCTCCCAGATGGTTATAGACATCAAGTTCATTATCAGGAATGGGCATTCGAGGTGGTCTCTCCACTATTGCTTAGCTTGCCAGTTGGTGTTATCCCTTTAGATCACTCGAGGTCACTCTGGTGCCTGATCTGTCTTCTAACCTATGATTCCCTCTTCTCCCTATTCTACCCCCACCCACTCAACTTCCTGTTCCCTCATGACCAACTCTCTTCCTCTTCTTTAACTGACCTCATAAGGCAAAGAAACATACCCAAAATGATCACAAGATTTTTTAAGTAGAATTAATTTATTTCAAATGTACACTACCATGTGGATTAGGTATCATATTAATATTTCTTTTTTATTTCACCAGCATTTTTATTTAAATTAGAAACACAATTGCTTCACATGTCAATCCCAGCTCCCTCTCCCTCCCCTACTCTCCCACCCCCTTCAAGCCTCCTCCAACCCCTCACCCAATCCCCACTCCACTCTCCAAGGAGGATGAGGCCCTTCATGGGGGATCTCCAAAGTCTGTCATATGATCTGGGGCAGGGCCTAGGCCTTCTCCCATGTGTCCAGGCAGAGACAGCATCCCTCCACGTGGAATGGGATCCCAAAGTCCACCTGAATGACAGGAATAAATGCTGATATATTACCAGAGGCCCCAAAGAATACCAAGGCCTCCTCACTGTCACCCACGTTCAGGAGGTCTGGATCAGTCCCATGCTGGCCTCTCAGCTATCAATCTGGGGTCCATGAGCTCCCCATTGTTCAGGTCATCTGCCTTTGTGGGTTTCACCCACCAAGTCTTGACCCCTTTGCTCATCACTCCTCTCTCTCTGCAACTGGGTTCCCGGAGTTCAGTTCAGTGTTTAGCTGTGGGTGTCTGCCTCTGCTTCCATCAGTCACTGGATGAAGGCTCTAGGATGGCACACAAGGAGGTCATCAATCTCATTATCAAGAAGGGCAGCTATAAAGGTAGCCTCTCCACTATTGGTTGGATTGCCAGCTGGTGTCATCCTTGTAGGCCTCTGAACATCTCACTAGTGCCAGATCCCTCTTCAAACCTATAAAGGCTCCTTCTATTGTGGTATCTCTCCTCCTGCTCTCCTCTATTCTTTCCCCGACTCAGCTTTCCTGCTCCCCCATGTCCTCCTCTGAAAAGAAACTATTTTCCCATAAGAGGAGAAAAATTAAAAACATAAAACTTTACGGAAAACTAAATTAAATGAATATACAAATAAAGAATCATGGGTATCTTAGTTAGGGTTACAACTGCTGTGATGAAACCCCATGGCCAAAAAGGTTTATTTGAATTGCTCCTCCACATTAGGTAATTGAAGGAAGTCAGGACAGGAATCCAAGCAGAGCAGGAACCTGGAGGCTGGAGCTGATGCAGAGCCCATGGAGAGGTGCTGCTTACTGGCTTGCTACCCGTGGCTTGCTCGGCCTGCTTTCTTACAGAACCCAGACCACCAGCCCAGGGGTGGGTCAGGTCCTACCCCATTAATCACTAATTAAGAAAATGCCCTGCAGGCTTGCCTGCGGCCCGGTCTTATCTGGGAGGCATTTTCTCAGTTGAGGTTCCCTCCTTTCAGAAGCCTCTAGAATCTAGCCTGTGTCAAATTAACGTAAAACTATCCAGCACATGGGTATAAGAGAAGGTAAGTAGTTCCTTTCTAAAGGCATAGGAGACATTTTTCAATGAAGTCATACGCCCCAGCATCTCTTTCCCTGGGTCAACATAAACAATGCCTGACTGTTCTACCATTCCACTGAAGTCTGTTTTGGGAAAGCAATGAGTCTATTGGACTGACTTACAGAATGAACGGGTACTTTTTACCCCTGAGTTGAACTAACAGTGACTAGACCAGCGGTGCCAGCTACTAGCTACAGAAGACGTGGCCTTGGTGTCTCTTGCTTGTCTGTTGTTTCTTGAAATTCCCTCCTCTTTTTTCGTTTACTCTCATCTGGTTTGGTTTTAGATTTATTTTAATTTTTAGAGAACTGATACGGCATTCATTGACTATCTTCATCATAGAACAGATAGTCTGAAATATCGTTATGTTGCTGTGCTGTGAGCACATAACTTGATTGTCGTTTCAACGAGTTTTTTTTTTCCTTTTGGTTTAGCTCCTTTACACAAGAAACAGTGCAGCAGCCTTCTGTATTTAGTATTTCCATTAAAATTATGAGAGAATTTAGGGACCAAAGGCAATGAGCCCTTTCTGGGTTCTAAACTGTCCTCCTAGCCACAGTCTATAAATCGATCACCAATTATTAAATATACTGACAATATATAAATAAGCTACTAATATATACTATATAATATCTAAATTATAAATCCATATATACCATATAATATATAAATAAATTACTAATACATCGGCAGGTGTCATTAATCTTGAAGGGCCTTGATAGTTTTTCCACTAGGAAACTGCCCTATCCGAAATAAAATGCAGCATCTTCAAGCAAGCATAAAGCAAACCTTCCCTTTCCTGCTAGCATCATGTTAGGTGCGATCCTGCTCTCCCAGGCTTGTTTGCAGCACCCATGTGACACTTCCCTTTCTTAAGACTGAAGTTACTAGGGAAAGAGGGGGATCACCTCCTAAGCTGATTACTACGCAGGAAGGGTCCGTCCTCGCTGGCCTCTGAGCAAGCGAATGCCTGTTTAGCACTTGGGTAAGAAGCATGGCCCAGCATGGGTAGTAGCTCTGTTAGTTTCTTAAAGTGAAAAAAAAAGCACTAGAACATTTTAAATTGACACGCCCCCCCCCCTCGTTTGTTTGTACTGGACATCACTGACTTGGGAATGGCCTCCCATCTCAAAGCCCAGGATGCAGTCTCCATCCGAACAGAGTCCAAACAAGTTCTAGGGGGATGGAGAAACCGCCGCCGTTATGCTCTCTGCACTGGCGGATCATGTGTGCATACACGTACAGACTGATGACCCACGTGGCGTCATCACATAGAAGAAAAAAAAAAAGTCCTCAGAAAAAACGCTCCTCTGAAACTGGTCCAGCCTGGAACTCGTCAATACGTTCGGACCTCATTCCGCCCTTGGGTGCTGTCTGGTGCCATTGGTGCTCCCTGATGTCCATCAAAGCCTGTGGGCGGTCGCTGGAGTGGAGGCGGCGTTGGTGGAGAAACTGCCAATCAAGCTAACGGAAGGGGGGGAGGGGGCGAAGGGGCGGGCCTCGCCGGTCTCGCGAGCCTATGCCCTGTCTCCGGCCTTTGTGTTTAAAGTGTCTTAGGGTGGTCCCCAGCCTCGGGGAGCCCCCGGTGGTCCTGATGAGATCGCTGCTGCTGGGCGAGCTGCGGCTGCTGGAGATGCACGTGGGCCATGGAGACGGTGAGCGAGCGATGGTCGCGAGGCTGCGCGGAGGGTTAGCTAGGAGGGGATGCTGCGCTCCCGGGGGCTCCGCGCCAGGTGCCCTCGGCCTAGGGCGGATGCAGGACCTAGTGTCCTCCGGTGCCCCGGAAGGGCGGAACTGGGCTGGCACGGATTTTTTACTTCCAGCCCCTTCCCCTGCGGCGGCCTCTCCGGTGTCTGCAGCCAGCCTTTGCCGACTGCTGCAGATGAAGGAGCAATCAGAAAACGCAGTCTCCAAGGAGGAGGGAGGTTCCTGCCGCCTGGGCTCCGGGTTCTTCCTCCTCCTGCTGCCCCCAGAGTTCTCCCCTGCGCTTTCTGAATGGTGCCAGAAGCAGAAGCTCAGATCCAAAACCTATTCCCCAGCCTACAGGGCCTCGGGCTGGTCATTAAATCCTAGATCCCAAATATGTGTGTGTCATCCCCAAACAGTGTTGCCAACTGGCGTGTTTCTGTTGCGTGTGTTTCAGACAGCTTCTGTGATTCTTTTCTCCAGACAGTAAATGACACTTTGTTGCCGTTCTGAAAAGTTTTTGTAGCAGTGTATGTTAATTATACATACTAATGGGTGCCACTGTGACATTTTCATACGTGTTTGTGTATTTTAAACGTAGCCACCATTACCTCTCTGCCGTCCCCCTTCCCACTAGTCCCCTTCTTCCCTGGTAGTTCTGTGGTAATCTTGTCTTGGTGAACCAGCGAGCTTCATTAGGGTTATTTACTGACAGGTTATTTACCCGGAGCCTGGGCATCTAATTAGTGGCAACACTTGTAGAGAAAATACCTCTCCACCCGTTACCAACTGGAACCTGCCGCAGATCCCTCAGGGAGGGGCGAAGGCCTCATGAGCCCTCCCACACGGAGTACTGACAGGTCCAGTCTTCTGCAGGCCGCGTGCGTTTCATCCATCACAGCTACTGACATTTTGGGTGCAAGGGCCACGTCAGAAGAGTCAGAGACAGCCCCTGCCCCCACTGCTAGGCGTCCCACAAGAACACCACGCTACACAATCATAACCTACACAATCATAACCTACGTGCGGCAGAGGACCTGGGTGTCCCTTCAGGGTCTGTGTGCCTCCGCGAACCCTCATCGGTTGGTTCTGTGGGCCACGGAACACTTAGGCCTGAAGCTGGCCTGTCAACCTGTTAGCTGTGTATGGGGTCACTGATTCAAGTCACTAGAATCCATACTGGCTGGATGCACTGTAAACTTCTTCCCGGAGTCAACAAACAGCAGTCTCCGCTTTTCAAGAGTTGATTCTTGTAGCAGAGGAGGAATTCTTCTCAGAGACCTCTGCCCTGGTAGAGCTGGCATGCCTTATCACAAAAAAAAGGAACTTCTGGATGGGCCAGGGTGAAGCCGACTTAGGATTTGCTAGGAAGAGGTTTTCACCTGGACTTGAGCGTGAAGGTTAATGGAAGCAGGTTCTCAGAAGGGGGACGGTGCATCCGTGTGTGAGTGCAGAGTTCTTCACAGTCTCCGGTGATTACTGTACGGTAAAAAAGTTACTTATAAGACACCAGTGCCGTCTGAACGTGCATCTCAAAGGGTTGCTGAAGACGTTAAAGGAGATCTTGGGCTAGTTCCTGAGATGAGGTAGGTAACATTACAGCCTATGAGGTGAAACCATTAGGCGTGAGGATTCCTTGAATAGTTAAGAGTTTTTTTGTCTTTGTTTTTGTTTTTGTTTTTTTTTAATGTGAATAAAAGTTAATAGTCTTGTGAAATTCCCAGAAAATAACCTGGGCAAGTCTAAGGACCTATTTGGAGGTTGACTATATTTAGGTCTTAAGCATTGTTCATTGCTGTTTGGGTATTTTATTTGGAGTTATCTGCATATAAAAAGGATTGTGTCTCTACGGAAGCAGCTTTCATGGTAGCATTTGTCCTGCTGTAATGTATGGCTTTACTCTGAGTAGACACATCAAGCAGACTCCGTGAGGGGCTCCTCTGGCTTTCCTTGTTTGCCGCTTTTTTTCAGTTTAGTATTAGTGAGCCCAGGAGTAGAGCTGCTGGAGAAGCAGGAGAGCCCTGCCATGGAGACATGGCTGGTGTTTGCTAAGGAGCAGGACCGTGCACAAGAGAGAAAGATGATTTCAGTGGTCCGTGTCATGGAGTGGGGTTCCATGGAGAACGGAAATGCAGGGAACTGTCTGAGAGTCTTTGGTGGTCCCTTGACACATGCTGAGTGGTCCGGTGGCATTTCCATCACAGTGGTAGGTGTCCTTTCAATGAGTTGGTTCCTGCTTCTAGATAAGTTCTCGGGCCTGGTTTTTCTGACATACTATTAATAGGCTCACAGGGCAGTGTAATTTATAAATTCACCTCATTAAATTTATCGTTGATAACCTGGGCTCATTCATAGGAGCTCACAGAGTCTGAACTGACAACCAGAGAGCCTGCATGGGACCGACGTAGGGCATCTACACATGTGTGACAGCTGTGTAGCTTGGTCTACTTGCAGGACTCCTCCTGGGAGCTGGGGCTGTCCCTCATGCTCTGGCTGGTTTTGGGAAACCTATTCCTCATACTGGGTTGCCTTGCCCAACCTTAACCCAAGGGTAGGTGCTTAATCTTACTGAAACTTGATATACTTGAGAGGACTGACCCTTTCTGAACAGAAACAGAGGAGGAGTGGATTGGGTGTGTGGGCAGAGGGGAGATAGGGGGACCGATCAGGTGTAAAACAGATAATTTAATTAATAAAGGTAAAGTAATAGTTGATCAAGCCTTTTTTTTTTACTTATGAACAGTTGCCAGTCTTTGCTTGACGGTCGGTGTGCGGGTGAGCCGCAGGGTCATTTTTGCTTTTGGGTTTTCACTCAAGATGGAGCCACTCGGGGCGAGACACAGCTTGGAAGCCTTCCTTTTGCACACTGCATAGTGACTTGGAGCAGCCTGATGCCCGCGCCTGGCCTCTAGACTGCAGGAACCTTAAACTCCCTAAAGCAGCAGATCTTTCCCCCAGGGGGATTCTGTTCTCGTGGGCCAACCCACCCCCTGATCTTTTGTAGCTCAGAACTGGCAGCCCAGAAAGTGGTAACATGTCTCAGTGGGCTGAGCCTTCCCACGTCAGTCACTGATCAAGAAAATGCCTTCACGCGCTCGCCTGCGGGTCACTTGTATGAAAGCATTCTCGGTGCAAGTTAAGTCTTCCCGGATGACGCTAGCTTGTGTCAAGCCAGCACAGCCTCCCCTCGACCCACGTGGGTGCGTGTTCCTTATCTCCGTGAAGAGTGGTGCTGGCATGTCCCTGTGTTGTCCCCTCCGTCCCAAAAGCTTTTCTGTCACTTTCTCCTGCTAATGTGTTTGCGTGGCAACTGTTTTTGTCTTTTGTCTAAAACAAAAAACAACAACAACAACAACAAAACACCACCTCCATACATTAATTGCCTCCTTTCGTGCCCACTATGCATCTTTTCTCTAAGGTTATGTCACGGGCTTCTCTGAATTTCCATGAGGTTCAGCTAGCCATTCTCTTGCTCCTGCCGTACAAGACGGGAAAAGCGCATTGATTTGATGGCTGTGTCATCACCCTGGGACTAGGGCTCCACTTCAGCGTCATCCTGGGTACTCAGAATTGTGGAGATGTTGTTCTCCTGAATGATTTATTTGTGAACCGTTCATGAAGCAGGCTCCCTCTGTGCCCTGACTTCCTCTTTTGAATATTACTGCCATGAATTTAATAACTGTTCCTTTGGGGTGGCGGGACTTTTTAGTTTTTATGGGTTAAAATAAGTAGGCATCGAGAGATAATTTGTCATTAGATCTCTCCGTACCACCGTCAATCTCATGGTACATCGCTGATGCCTGACTTCCTCCTTTCAAACGTAGCTGGGCCTGGCCTGGGCGCTCCCCCTTCTCTGAGGCTGGACGTGGACACTGAGCATGTAATTTCCTCTACATATTTGTGACCCAGTATTCAAAAGGAAGATGCATGGAGAGTCCCTGACTGAAAGGGGAAACGATGACCTTGCCAGACGCTAGGGACCAGGTTCCGCCAAAATGCCAGGGTCCTCTCGTAATGAGAAAATGCTGGTGGAAAAGGTCTGAAAACTTGTCATAATGGTGCCAGCCAGCCAGGGATTTGATCCCATCTCCTGTCATCAGACCGGTGGGAGTAGGGTCTGCAGCTTGGTCTAACCCTAGCCTCAGGCAGAACCACCTGTGAAACAGAAAAGAGGATTCTGCGTTAGCCACCCAGGACTCCTGTCTCTCTCCGTCTGCAGGAGCTCAAGGTGTCCTCTTCCTGAGGTGCAATAGTGTCACTGTTGGCCTGTGACAGACTGTTGTCCAGATTCCCGGAGACAACATGTCACCCAAAGTACTGAGCGCCGTGTGGAGATGGGAAGTTTGTTGGTTCAAGCTCACACGACGGCGGAGGCAGTGGACCATTGCAGTTATCTCCAGACTAAGGGAATCTGAGACCGTTGCAGGCGAAGCTTGACCCTAGGACCCCTCTGTAGTGCGTTGGGGGGTGGGGGGGGCCTGGAACAGTAGCTGGGATTCTTGACGTGGTAGTTTAAATGATGATGTCCCCCCCCCCAGGCTTAGTCCCAGTTGTTGAACTATTAGGAAGGATTAGGAGGTGCGTTGCCCAGGGGGGTGGGGTTTAAGGTTTCAGAAGCCCAGGCCTGCTTCAGTTCTGCCTGTAGATTAGGATGTAGCTCTCAGCCACTTCTCCAGCACCCTGCCTGCCTGCCTGCCTACCTAACTGTCTACCTGTCTGCCTGTCTGCCTGTCTGCCTGTCTACCTGTCTACCTGTCTACCTGTCTACCTGTCTACCTGTCTACCTGCCTGCCTGTCTGCCTGCCTGCCTGTCTGTCTGCCTGCCTGCCTGTCTGCCTGTCTGCCTGCCTGCCTGCCTGCCTGCCTGCCTGCCTGCCTGTCTGTCTGCCTGTCTGCCTGTCTACCTGTCTACCTGTCTACCTGTCTGCCTGTCTGCCTGTCTGCCTGTCTACCTGTCTGCCTGTCTACCTGTCTGCCTGCCTACCTGTCTGCCTGCCTACCTGCCTGCCTGTGATGTCTATCCCTAACAAAGGGCTTTGCTTTGTGTCTATTGGACAGCATAGGAAATGTGATATGGAGGCTGGAGAGATGGCTCGGTGGCTGAAAGGGCAACAGGCTGCTGTAACTCCAGGCCAGGGGATCTGATGACCTGTTCACACACACACACACACACACACACACACACACACACACACACACGCACGCACGCACGCACGCACACTAAAGTTCTTCAAAACCAGAATGAAACCATGACATGGGAAGGGAATGAGGAATGCTTTTCTACTGGTACCTCTAGCAGAGTTTCACAAAGGAGGGAATTGCTGTGCCGAACCCAGCTGCAGACGACTCAGAACAGAACTGGAAACCACTGACAGGGCTTACCGACCTATATCCGCTCGATGCGTCCCACGCCTATGGGATCTTTGTTTTGTTTAAGACTGCTTCCCGCTGCTGGATGCTTTCAGCCAAAGATGACAGCACAGCTACCTGTGCGCACATACAGTTACCCTGGATGGGGGGGTGTGAGGGATACACGTAACAGATTATAGCCGTGCATTCAGCTTGGGACATAAACGCCGATAACGTGAGACACACGGCGTAGTACGGCTGGCTGCCTGGTTTTCTTAAAGGCAGGGTGATTAAGCAGGCTTCGTACACGGCAGGACAGCAAGTTGAATGCACAGTCTCAAGCCGTCACCTCGCAGGCATGTTGCCGACGTGCTTGCAAGAGGGTGTAGTCTCTTTGAAGGCAAGACATGTTTTCTTCAGGAAATATACGTGTGTCGGTACCATTGGGCACAGCCGCGCCCTCCCAGATCATGTGATTTCCACAGGACATGTCATCAAGGGGGAATCCGTGTACGTTGACTCTCGCTCACTAACCTGTGCGGGGGCGTCTGCGAGACCTAGGATGTGAGGACCCGAAAAGCGGAAGAGGAGAGGACAATGGTCTGATGCCGTAGGCGACAACCTCACTTCAGTTCCAGTGTATCTTATACATGAAAGTCACAAGGAAGAAGAGGAAGAAGGCAATGATCCAGGGAAGGCTGTGTGAGTTCATTTTTTAAAAAAACATGTAAATTGTGGTCGGTAAGCACACACCAAATATCAACAGAGCAGCCCCGGACCAGAACTTTCTCAGGACGGAGTATTTTAAACACGGTGCCTGGAATGTACTGTAGATTCTCTCTGGGAAGGCACGAAGGCAAGGCAAAAGGCCATACCTAGACTGAGGGCACACTGAAGGTTGGATTCCGTAGCTGCGTTCTGAAGTCCAGCAAGAGTAAGCATTCAGTGTCTTACAAATCGAATGCAAATGTCTGTCGCGGGAGGCATGAAATAATTGTCCGAGAACAACTCGCGGAACAAAGTGTGCCTGAGGTAAAAGGCCTTCTGCCTTTTATCCTGGAGCCCCTCTCACAGGTCCCCAAGGCATTTGTCCACCGTGTGTCGTTCATTTGACCCATGTTCCTACACGTGCGGTATAGCGGGTACGTGGGGTTTCTGTGGGTAGCCTTGAGGTCCTAGGTGACTTGAGGCCCTCGTTTCCACACAAGGGTGATCCCCATTTGGGGTCTTTGAAATTGATGAGAGGAAAAAACAAACAAACTGAGATCTAGGACTCTGTTCCTCCCTCTTTCCGCTGACAAACTAAAGCCCGACATTGTTTTTCCACCCTGCATTTATTACTGTATCAGACGTGAGTAGACTATAAGGAAGTAGTTATAAATGCAAACCAGAGGTGTTTACTGGGAGACTAAAATATTTTGAGTTTTAGCGCTTACAAATTATAATTTATTCTCTTTTTCCACCATGAGTTTGCTAGGCTTCCTGGGGAAAGAATCCCAGATGCAACTCTTGAGTCTTAGCAGTAGCTGTGGTGTCAAGAGCAGAGAAGCTCTTCTTTTTCTCCAGTTGTGCCTACAGTGGGATGGATGTGCTCCATCAGGGAAGTACAGTATAGGAATCGTTGCGTCACGGACCTTCACAAAAGCATTCCTGGAAGATTTGTGACAGCCACTCAGCTTTCCTGCTCTCTAATACTCTAAATTGTGTGGGAGTTGACTTCGTAATTCCTATACATTTCACATATGACGGACTGCTTATTGAATTATTTATCCGGTATGTCATAAGCAAAGAACTTTACGTTCTCCGGAAAGAGTAGAATAATGTAATGTTCATTTGGGGTTCTTAAGAAGGTTGTTTATTGCTCTGAACACTGAGTGTTTTGAATGGTCTGTTGCAACCCTGAAGACTCTGTCATTTAAAGCCCTGCATGTACTTCAGAATCCCAAGTCTGAGGTCTAGGACTGGGCGCTAAAGCATCTCAGGGAAGAAGGACAGATTCCTAGGGGTATGTGTTTCTGGTTAGGGGGCTGTGGAACCCTGTGTTCAGTACCTGCAAACCTTGGCTTCTCCACCTTTCTGACCTCTGGTTAGTGTGGTTTTGTTTGTTGTTATTTTAAGCTACTTGGTTTTCTCCTAGGGTTGGAACGTGTTTCAAAATATGAAATAGACAGACATAGCACAGTAGGCTTTCATTCATTCCACCTCAATATCCATATATACATACTTCTTCATCACTGTTTTTAGCCAGAGAAACAGCAATATGTATTTCCATGTGTGTTCAAATTAGAGCTTGTCATACAAAACAATTAATAAATGACCACAAAGCTATAGCTCTGATTGTACCTTTACATCCTTAAATATGCTCCCAGTGGTATTGTATTTAAAAAAAAAAATCACTAAGTAGATTATAATTCAGGTTTGCACTCATTGGCTCTAACAGTGTGGAGTTAAGGATGGCCTTGAATTTACATTCTCCTGTTTCCACCTCCCAAATGCTGAGGTTAAAGGTGTGTGTCACACACACACACACACACACACACACACACACACACACACATCTGGATTAAGCAGCACTGGAAAGTCAGCCCAAATCTGTGTGCATGTTAGGCATACTCTGCAGACTGAACTGTATCTCCAGACCTGTATTTCTCATGTTTGACCTGAATATTTCTACTCCTTTGTTCTGGTGTCTGTGTGTGTGTGTGTGTGTGTCTGTGTCTCTCTGTGTGTGTCTGTATGTGTATGTATTCATGTGTGCGTCTGTGTGTGTGTGTCTGTGTGTGTATTCATTTATGTGTGTATGTCTGTCTGTGTATGCGTGTGTCTGTGTGTGCATGTATGTGTGTTTAATCTGTCCTCAGGAGGAGCCCAGGACCTATGTCTACTAGGCAAGCATTCTGTCACTAGGAAACATACACAGCCATAGTATATTGCTTTGGATTTATACCTTCCATTTTTATGTGTAGAAATAAAATTAATCTGATCAGTTTTGCTTTGCTGCCTTTGTAACATATTAACACATTCCCAGTCTCATGTGAAAGCTGCTTGCAGGTTACTTTAGTTATGTTAACTTTGTGTTTCCATCTGATTTCTGGACCGTTTGGTTGGAACCTAGGCTTGACCTTTTGCTGCGTGTTTGACAAAACGATACAGAAAAATAAAGAAACATAAAATCATTCCGATCCAAAATAGTAGTTTTAAATAATCAAAAAGATTATTCTTACTATACTTCCTATTATAATACAATGCATGATGGGGGAAGTTCTTCTGTATATATGTTTCTCTTATTGGTTGATGAATAAAATACTGCCAATCAAGGCAGGGAGAAAGGTGAGACTAGGAGAGGAGGAGAATTCTGGGAAACATAGGCAAGACGGAGTCGCCATGTGAGCCTGGGAAGAGAGGACATGCCAGGTGTTCTCCAGTAAGCCAAGACCACGTGGAAATACATAGGTTGATAGAAATGGGTTGATAATTAAGACAGAGCTAGCCAGTAGGAAGCCCAAGTCACCGGCCAGCAATTTTATAACTAACATAGCATTCATGTGTTTATTTGGGGCTCAAGGGCAGCAAGACCAGCCGGGACAAAGGACCTCTCGTAACAAATGCATAATTACTTTTAAATCAAACAGCACTTGGACACTGGCATCGGCATTACTACTGATCTGTGCCCAGAAAGCCCAACTCCAGTCCAGAACTCCTCCTAAGTCAGAAAAAATATCCATGTGATTCACCCTACCTTTCTCATCTAAGAAATATGCACAGTGTTGTGTGTTAGTTTACATAGCACATATCTTGATAGCGGTGCTTTATGATATGTTAAATGTCCTAAAGTTGGAATGTTTACACTGGCTTAGCAAATGCTGTGTCATTCTTAAGCTCAGCTAGGTAAGATGTTGTAGAATATCAGTGTGGTATAAAAAGCCCCTTCCTGAGCAATTTCAACTGCCTGCATCATCACCGATTCTAACTGTCTCGGGTGAGACCAAAGCTGATCGGCGGTGTGGTATTTATTTCTGTTCGTTTTATTTCAGGACCAGTTGACTTTCAGCGATGTGGCCATTGATTTCTCCCCGGATGAGTGGGAATGCCTGGACCCTCCGCAGCAGACTCTGTATAGGGACGTGATGTTGGAGAACTACAGAAACCTGGTGTCTGTGGGTGAGGATAGCGTTCCTGCAGAGCTCCGGACACACTGCCAGTGTTTAACGTGTTTACTTTCGCACATGTCTGCCATAGCCTGTGCTTTTCGTGACCAATACGGACCTGCGCTTTAAGGAACAGCTGTGGGGTCCTTGGCACACAAAAGAGTGTTCCCATTTATTCTCGTCCCTGTCCCTTTCCTCGTGCTGTGGGCAGTATGCATCCTATCTTTGGTGGTAATTACATCACCTGTATGACACGCAACATTCTGGTCTACGTCTTAAAGCCGAGCTTCTCCTCTCCAGCTCCGACTTGGTCGTAGTCAGAAGTGGCGCTCAGTATTTGCGAACTGAGAATGTGGTCTCATATGTCTTTTGGGAAACCACATTATTCTTGAATCCCCTGCTGAGTCTTCTCTTTTCTATTGAGCAAACCACTGAGACCAGGGACCTCATTTGTTAACAGATGCATTCAGTTCCAGTATAGGCCTTGTTCTCTTTTCCAGTAATCAGGTCTTAACTTTCTCCAGGTCATACCTGGTTACCTCTCTGGAAACCAACAAAAAGAGCCCTGGGATATAAAATGACTAAGAACAATGGCAGTGTCCCCAGTAGGTGGGTAGGAACGAATGAAGCAGAGGACACAGGTACCGAGGCAAAGGTCGAGGAGCACACTACAGGATGGTGTAATACTGCACCGTGTGCACGTTCCAAATTATGTGTTTACCTGCTACCGTCAAGTGGAATTGGGTTGCTGTCACCTATTTGCCGTTATAAGTAATAATTGCAGCTAACGTTGAAGTGAAACTACGTCTTCGTTTGGCCGTCACCTGGGTATTGTGGCAATCCTGATTTTCATGAGTCTACTTGGTTAGCTTTATGTTAGTATAAACCGTTTTAATTACTGTTGTTGTTAGTCAGCTTTGTGCTCAGGAAACCTGAAGTTTCCCAGTTTCTTCTTGAGAGTATGGAACTCTTCGTTAGCATGAGAGACTCATCTGATGTTTTGAATCTCGCTGTAGGCGCTTCTTTTTTTTTTTTTTTAACATTTTTTAGATTTACTTTTTTAGTACACAGCCTCTGTCTGTATGCCAGAAAGCCAGAAGAGGGTGCCAGGTCTCATTACAAATGGTTGTGAGCCACCTTGTGGTTGCTGGAAGTTGAACTCAGGTCCTCTGGAAGAGCAGCCAATGATCTTAAGCTCTGAGCCATCTCTCCAGCCCCCCTAGGCACTTCTGCTAAAAGTAATTTTCAGGTTTTGACAGAGATCAAACAGATGTTCTAGATTATATTGGATATGACAGTCATATTGTTTTTAGCTTCTCATTCTGTAATAATACCATAGTCAAGAGTATGTCCTTTATAGGACACACAGTTTTAGGTTTACTTGTTTGTTTGTTTGTTTATTCCTCTTCCATCCATTGTCTATTATTTTATGATAGTTAGAAAGGAACTTCAGTACTCTCCTATGTATTAGGAATGTGTCGTGTCGTACCAGGTAATCCAACTTAATATGTGTTTGTGTCTGTAGGTCTGATGTTTATAGTGTTTTTCTGGATTTGTTTCCTAATTAGTCCTCAGTGTAGCTTTATTTCAAAGTATGAAAAGCAGGGATATGAACTCGGGACTGTGATGGAGCGTTTAGCGTCTTCAATTTGCAGTGTTTACATCCCGTACTTGAGAAGTGGGAAGTGCGTTGTGTGTGTGTATTTATTACAGCTGCACTCTCCTAGAAAAGTGGCCATCGTGTTCATTATCGTCACTCAGGTTTCTGTGGCTTTGATAAAATGCCACGCCCAGAAGCAGCAGTCCCACGTCACGGTCACGGTCTCATCACTGAGGGCAGGAAGGGCAGGAGCAGGGCAGGGACTTGGAGGCAGGAAAGGCCTGTGGTGTGGGCCAGCTTACTGGGCTGCTCCCCATTGCCTGCTCAGCCTGTGTCCATATATACCCTGGACCACCTGCCAGGGATGGCACCAACCACAGTGGGCTGGGCTCTTGTATGTCAGTCATCAGACGTGAAAATCCCGCCCAGCCCCGCCCCGCCCCGCCCCAGGGTTATCCACAAGCCAATGTCATAGAGCCATTTTTTTTTTTTTTTTTTTTTTTACGATTGAGGTTCCTTCCTCTTGGGGGACTCCAGATTCAGTCTCATTGATTAAGAAAACAGAACCTGGCCGGGTGTTGGTGGTGCACGCCTTTAATCCCAGCACTCGGGAGACAGAGGCAGGCTGATCTCTGTGAGTTCGAGGCCATCCTAGTCTACAAAGCGAGTTCCAGGAAAGCCTCCAAAACAATACAGAGGAACCCTGCCTCGAAAACCCAAAAAAAAGAAAGAAAACAGAACCTGCCGGCATGGTTATTTTCTTTCATCCCAGTTTCTGACTTGAATTGTACCTCTTTGTCACGTAACTGTTTTTGACTGAAAGTGTATTTTCTTATAATTATGGCTCTCTTTGCCCCCTTACTTCATGACTTTTAGCATGCCTGAACCCTTACATCTAAGAGAGTTTCCAGCGATACAGCATAATTTTACTCTATTTTTTTTTTTTGGTATGCACTAATGACAATGGAATTTCCAGTCCATACGAATCTCCTTTGTAATTCCATTGCCTTTTCCTGTGATATTAGTGATCATAGCTGTTTTCTTCAGCATGTGTCTGTGTGCATTGACAGGGACTTACAATAAAGCTTCTTTTAAACTCTTCAGAAATTGAAAGTGGGTTGTGCATCGACACAGGGCTTTGAGATTTTGTTTCTTGTGTTGCCTTGTAACAGTAGGACAATCTAGCGGCGATGGCCACTTAGCGTGCTTATACTCTTCCTTTCGTTTTGGAGAATGGGTTGGCTGGGCGGAGTGTGTCCCTTCAGCCTGTACACGGTGCTCGGTGCTCTGTATCTTGTGTCTTTGTTACAGTGTTTCCTTGAAGAGCTCCCTCTGAGGTCGCATGGGGCATCTCAGAGAGAACACATCACTTCCACCGCTCTCAAGAGCGCCCTTTGTGACTTGTGAAGCGTAGACTCCATTGTGTGTGGCATCCTCACTAATGAAGCTGCTTGTGTTCTGATGTGTCTCTTCATTTTTAGTTTTAGATTTAGTTTTAGATTTCTTACCAAGTTCATCACCCATATTGTTTGATTACCATATCTGTTTCTTTGTCTGTACTCCCATTTTCTTGGCTTTGATGTTCTCTGTGTTTATTGATATCTTTCAGTTTACTAATATCTTTCAGATGGTTGTTTTGTTTATACGATTCATAAATCAGTTTTTTTTTAAGTCAGCAGGCTTGTTCATGTTTATCCCACAGACCCATCACCCTGTTTCTTTGTGTACAGTTAGTATTCACTGAAATTTGTCCTTTGGAAAAAGGAGTCAGCAACAGAGTATAACAGTCATGGGGGCACCTTGAAACCGTAAAATAGCAAAGGTGCATGTGTCCCAGCACCCCCCAGGGGCTGAATATTTGGCAATCAGTGTCAAGTCACCCTGTTAAGAAGATCGCCAATAGAGCGTTTAGTGCAGCATGATTCAAAGTAGCCAACACAGAGGTTAGTTTCAGTGCAACTGAATAGAACTCAGAAGGCAGAGTTAAGAGGATCTCTGTGAGTTCGAGGCCAGCCTGGTCTACAAAGCTTACACAGAGAAACACTGACTCAAAAGATTAAATACATACATAGATAGATAGATATGCACCTGATACCCCCTACAGTCTGTCATTTTAGGTAGACAGATTTCAGACAGCCCCTACTACCACCACCCAAAAAAAACCTCATATTTTTTCTCCCAATGGAGATGGAGGATTGAATTTTATATATATATCATTATATATATATATATATGTATGTGTGTGTGTGTGTGTGTGTGTATGTATGTGTGTTAATGTGCAAGAGGGTAATGGTCCTGTGGTTTCCCACTGATGTTCCAATCTAGTACACCTTGACATATATTTATAAACTGTAATCACAAGAATCTATTAAATTAATTTGTTTGTTTTCATTTATTTCAGCCCTTTCTCATCATTGTTCCCAGAACTTTCCACCAGAACAGACCCTAAAATATTCCTTTAAAAGAGCAACTAATGGAAGACTCGGAAGTCACGGCCTTAAGAGTTTAAGAAATTGGGCAGAAGCAGATGAGAATCGAGGTCAAACAGCCTGCCGTGGTGGACATAACGAATGGGTGCCCACCAGCAGTAGCAAGGGTGTCACTGACAACAGAGACCAAGAACAGAAAACATCTGCGAAAAGAACTCGTGCTAGGGCAGGCGCTTTCAGCAAGACACGTATCAGCAAACGAAAGACTCCTCGGGACACTTTTCAGCGTAACTTAACTTTGAAAAGAAGTTTGGAAGATCTGAAAGAGGGATTAATCTTGCACTCAGACATCTCCATAGACAAAGAACCAAGAAACCGAGAACCAGTCTCTATAACTGATCAGGTAGAGACCTCCAATCCCGAAAGATCCTTACTCTTCAGTCAGCAAGTAGATCTTTCCTACGGCCAGATGCACAGTTCTAATGACTGTGGATTGCTTGCCACGGCTCCAGAGAAATCTGGTCAGTGTAACAAAGTACATAACAACTTTGACCATGGCTCAAGTCCCAACAAACATTACTGTGCTCTGTTTCAAAAGAACGTTTTCAGTTATGAAAATTTATTTTCCCAGGACTCAAAGCTTACTGTCCATCAATGTAACTATATTCAAGATAATCATTACAATCATATAGACTGTGAGTCAACACTTAATCAAACCTCGAACCTGACTACACATAAAATTCAGTATGCCCAGAAATCCTACAAATGTAATGTATGTGGCAAAACCTTTAAGTATTGCTCAAGTTACAGTAAACACAGCATCGTTCACACGGGAGAAAAACCCTACAAATGTAAATTATGTGGAAAATCCTTTACCCAGTGTACAAGCCTTAAAAAACATCAGAGAATCCACACCGGAGAGAGACCGTACACGTGTGAAGAGTGTGGCAGAAGCTTCAACCACTGCTCAATTCTTAGTCAGCACCAGAGAATCCACACCGGAGAGAAACCCTACAAGTGCAAACAGTGTGGGAAATCCTTCACCCAGTGTGCAAGCCTCAGAAAGCACGAGGTAATCCACACCGGAGAGAAGCCCTACAGATGTGCCGAATGTGGCAAAGCCTTTACCCAAAGCTCAACACTTAGTGAACACCAGAGAATCCACACCGGAGAGAAACCGTACAAATGCGAACAGTGTGGGAAGTCCTTCACCCAGTGTTCAAGCCTCAGGAAGCACCAGAGAACCCACACCGGAGAGAAGCCCTACAAATGTGGGGTATGCGGCAAAGCCTTCAGCTGCCGTTCATCTTTTACTAAGCACCAGAGGATTCACACGGGAGAGAAACCTTACAGGTGTAAAGAGTGTGGCAAAGCTTTCATCCACTGCACGAACCTTACTCAGCACCAGAGAATCCATACAGGAGAGAAACCCTACAGATGTGATGAGTGTGGGAGATGCTTTAGTCAGTGTTCAAACCTCAGAAAGCATCAGAGGATCCATATACATGAGTAAAACCAGCAGATGGGAACAATGTAGTAAATCTGTACCCACAGTCAAAAGCGTGTTTATTGTCGTGATTCAAAGTGGAAGTGTGTCCTACAGAAGTGGCAAACGTAGAAGAGTCTGTGACTCATTCACAGGTTTCTCACTGTGAGAGAATTAATTCTTCCTGCAGAGAAACCCTCTCAATACAAGCAATACCAAATCCTTAAATGTTTATAATCCTCTGCTAGGCACCACCGTCACTTTAGAAAGAAACACAAGTGATATTTTTTTAATGTGGGAAAAATCTAAATTGTTGCCCACCCCTTACTGAACATTGAATTTACACCTGAGACAAACCCTACAAGTGTAGGGGAAAAAAGTGCCAAAGACTGTCACCATTTTGCACACCTTAACACCAGAGTTTACACTAGAATGGAAAGCTGTAAACATACCAAATATGTCAAAGCCTTTAGATCAAAGTAGAAAGCTTTTTAGCATTAGAGAGCACAGTAAAGTTTTCACCTTTGTCCCAAATGCTCAACTCAAAAAAAAAAAAAAAAGTAAAATACTTAACATTCTGTGCATGTGTAAAAAGTGTAACAGAACCTTTTTATATGGGCTCTCTCTGCAATTGATACTAGAGGTCCACAAATGTAAATAAGGTTGTAAAATCTTTGTTGTTGCTTCAAAGTTACTAGACACTGCTAATTGATCTGGTAGAAGAAAAAAAAAACCTCATATCTCTCAAGTACAAACAACTCACTCTCAGATGCGATTGTATTACATATTAAAAGTCTCAGTGTGCTCACTCACGAGAACTTGGAAGAGCACCATTTTCACATATATATCAGAACAACAAGACTCCTCTCTGAGCGTTTGTGCTGAGTGTTTCTCCAAAGACCACAGGACACATTTTCCTCATTCAGGGTTAAGTTCTAGGTGGCAAATATTACTAGTATATAATAGAATGGCCTCTGTGGTTCATTTCCCCCACGGTCGTTAGGTGATTTTTTTTTTCCCTAAGTGGACAAAATGAGGCAGGCCAAGAGGTTTCAGAATACTGTGGAGTAAGCCCACTGTCTGCCTAGGACAGGAAGGAGAAAACTACTCTTGAGGTTCTCGTGCAGTCCAGCACCTGACTGTGAGCAGCTCCAATGCAGGCTTGCCGAACACCCAACCCTTGTTAAACGTAGTGAAGGCCACAAGTCAAGGGTGAGAGCAGCTCTGAGGGTCTTGGACAGACCAAAAAGTGGTACCCACATGGCAGCTCAATATAAAACAGTTGCTGTTGCTGCTGCTACCATCCAGAGTCAGTCGTCCTGGTGGGACACACAGATTCTCTGTCCACTGCAAAAAATTTAGGCAAATGGCTGGCCGTTCCAGGTTAGTGCCGCCTGCAAGATATACCAATGTGCTGTCGTGCCACTGACCTAACTGGGAAACCAGGAGGGACCACACACTCCACAGTGTCCACAAAGAAAGGATGCCAGGGTCGCACAAGCACCTGAGACTTGTTTCTTTACTAGCCCAAATCGTGTTCATAGATGAGAGGTGATGGTGGTTTTGAAGTGGACACAGCCACCCTCTTGGAACTTCAGCTGGCCTTTTCTCACAGTCATGCATCAAGCATCAGAGCCCTTGGTTTTTCCTCCTCTAGAAAGGCACTGGAGACCAGGGTACACGGAGGGCGCAGGGGGATCACCTAGCTAAGCCCTGATGAACGACGTGGAGAGTGAAGAGATTGGGTGTGGTGTTAAGTACGCCTCTAGGTTGGGGTAATGCCACAAGGGTCCTGACCTGATCCTCAGGTTTTGGGGGCATCCCAAGAGGTGCCCAGTCTATTTGGGGACACTGTATGTGAGATGGAGGCTAGGTCAGGGCGGAAGGGAATATCGGGAAGAGTCCGCCAGACTTGTCCTGGTGAAGAGTGTAGAATCTGGCTGGCAAAGAGGTTGGAAGTGACATGGGGAAGGATTATAGGTTGGGGATGACAAGGGTCCTCCAGGCTTTGAAGTTGTACAATTTAGAACTAACTCCTTCCCTCCCTCTGCCTCCTGAGTGTTGGGGCAGCTCCATGTTCCTGCTGCTGAGCCTCCCCTCCACGTTGTTTTTAATCACAGCAACACAAAAGAAACCAATACGGGGTCCTTGGGTCAATCAAGCATCCAAAACAACAGAGTTCAAAGGCGTTTGGCCTTCTAGCAAGAGAGTCACAGAAACAATGATTATGTTTCGTTATTCATAATCATGAATAACAATCACGATAAATGAAGTGTAGGTGTGCCCAACCCCTTGAAGTTGCAGAGCTTGAGAAAGTTCCTTGCATAGGTTTGCAGGGTCCTATCAGCTGCCTGTGGTTCCTATTAAACAGTATTTAAATGAGACTAATAAATGAATCTGATAGCATCTGTGCCAATGAGGCCTGAAATAGGTGAGCGCATGTGTACTTGGTAGCAATAAAAGCAATGAAGAAAACTATTAGAAGGGATGGAGTATGGTGGTGTGAAACTATGAGGTCTGTTTGGGTTAGCTGTGAAGGTTGGCTGGGTTTCATTTTCAGTTTATTTTTATTTTGTGTATAAGTGTTGCATGTATGTATGTCCATCACTTGTGGGTCTGATACCCACAGAAGTTGAAGGGACTATTGCATCCCTTGAAACTGGAGTTATAGATCGTTTTGCACCACCATGTGGATGCTGGGAATTGAACCCAGGACCTCTGAAAAAGCAAAAAATGCTCTTAAAACACTGCACTATCTCCCCAAATCCTATTTTTTTAAAATAAAACATTGCCTGTGTATTTGTACATGATGACATTCTTGGGGGGGGGCACAGATTACTGTCTACTATCATAGAGATTTTCTTGTACCCATCTTGGTATTCAACACATTAAATCTTAAAAAAAGAAAGAAAAATAGTTAAATGTGAAATAACAATTAACCACTTGGACTATTTCTTGGACAATGGTTTTTTTTTTATTATTATGAAGCTGTTGGCCTTGCTTGTTTCTTACTGGCTAGCTCTGCCTTAAGTAATTACCCCATAATTGTTAATCTAAGTATGTTTCTCTTACCGGAGAATAGTTCCGGGCTTCCTACCCCATGGCGGTTACATGTTGACTCTCTTGTGTTTCTCCTTCCCAGAATCCTCCTCGACTCCTAGTCCCTCCTATCTAGGTTTCCTATTGGCTCAACAGTACTTTATTGACAAATGCACAGGACTTCCCCCAACATCTCCTCTTTTCTGTTTAAACAAAAAGAAAGGTCTTAACTTTAACACAGTCAAATTGTGTATAACAGAACAGTTATCAAATAAGAACATAGTTACAATATTTTAGCAAGACTTCAAGAAAATATCATCCATCCCATCCTTGTGAGTCCAAAGTTCTATATGTAGCTTATCTTTTATCATAACTAAGGAAAACTATAATTATAACTATCTGTCTTCAACTCCATCAAAGACCACAGAAGGATAATATATAAACACTAGGATTGACAGAGACATCTTGCTACCTGGACAGTCACCCGAAGTTCCACTGTAACGTTGGGGCATCCATCTTCAGCCCATAGGCCACAAGGTATCCAGAAGATTTCTCAGCCAAGCAGGAAATTTCAAAACTGTCCATCTGCATTGGCAGTCTGTCAGTCATTTTTCTGTGTCCTGCAGAAAGTCTGGTAGACTCTTCCATGAAGCAGGAACCATGTAAGACTGAGTTTAGCAGTCACTTTCCTGTGGGTCCTGCATGTCCAGTTTATACAGCAAAAAAAAAAAAAAAGAAAAATAGTTAAATGTGAAGTAACAATTAACCACTTGGACTATTTCTTAACTCTGCAGAAAGAGTGGGTACACAATGGTTTTTATATTCGTCAGACAATCCATTTGAAGCAGATATTTCAGTCTAGATATCCACTTGTTCAATGACCAGAAAGGAAGAAAGTAAAATAGGAGAAAAATAATCAGTTATAGAAACTATTTTCACTTGCGTAGTTTATATTAACTTTGTGCTTATTTTGGGTTAGCCTGTGTCATTGGACACATAAATGAGGGTCAAAGTTAGTAGCTCACATGCATACAGTGTATAGTATCCAACTCACTCAAAATATATGAAAGAAACTTATTCAGGATGAGGACATATGCATACTGTGTGCAGTATCCAGCCAACTCAAAATATATGAAAGAAATACATTCGCGATGAGGACATATGCATACAGTGTATAATATCCAACCAGCTCAAAATATATGAAAGAAATACACTCAGGATGAGGACACATGCATACGGTGTATAGTATCCAGCCAACTAAAATATATGAAAGAACATACTCAGGATGAGGTATCCCACACTTCCACACTTTGGACCCCCAACATTAAAATAGAGTTGTTTCACTATACCTGTAGTCCGCTATCACTGGGGAAATATCAGTCCAGTTGAGAGGGTGGAGTCTGATTCATTGCTATGGGACTTCAAATGAGGGGTGTTACAAGTTGGCCCCTCAATGGCCCAAGCAGATTTATAGCAAGGCATAATTTTCCTGGAAGCTAAAGAAAGGCAAAATTCATTTTTGACATCGTCTAAGAAGTCGACTTGAAACTGATAGGTTGTCAGCTGAGAACATTCCTAGACTTGGGCTCTAGTATTTCGAGTGAAAGCCAATGATAACAACCTGAATGACTTTTCTATATTAAATTTGAGTCACGCTTGCCAGTGAACTCTCTGAGTAGTTCACACGAAAACGGGCAAAGAGGTTTTTATGGGTAATCTGCCTCGGTGTCTTGTGTCAGTTGTCAGCTTTATTTCCTAGGATTCAACTGTTTGTTTTTCATGATACCAAGTCAGAATAGTTGGAGAAAGCTGGAAGTATTTTTTGGAGAGTGGCAGCAAAGTTGATACAGAAATCTGCACATGGAAGGTCAGGAATAAAACATCTAAAAATAATAAGGAAATCGGAGTAAGACCAAATTGTCGGAACAATAAGTTTTAGACCTAATTTATGTATTACTTATTTTTTCTGTTGCTGTGCTAGAACACCACAACTACACAACTAATAAAACTTTCTTTGAGCTTACAGGTTCATAGG